TCCTGTAAATGTGCTTCTCAAGCTTTCATTTTGCAAACCACACATCTGGTCATCTTTCTTTTTTGTTGTGTCTAAAAGCAGCCATATGTCATCAGCAACCCTCTCATGTATATTGAACTTCCTTAGCACATCAGCTTGTCTCTTTGAATGTGTTACCTGATGTCTTTAAAGTGGCAAAACAGAGAAAAGTGGGTCCTCCTAGTCTTTGTTCATCAGACAAGTAAGAGTGAGGGATATGGTAGAGACAGGAATATAGTATTTATGGCCTTGTTCTGTATCTATTCTATCTTTGCTCTTTAATTTCTCCTTGCCTTAGTTCAACTAGCAGAATATGGCTCAAATCAGTTCTACACTATCAGCAGTTAAGTATGGCTATCCTTTATTGATAGGGAGGAACCAGGGCTACTGAGTTCTGGTGTGGTTTTTGTTAGATCTTCCACAACAACTGTGATTCTCCAGCTCAATCTGTCTGTCCAGGTGCTTTATTAGGAGTTCACAGGTTTTATTATGAGTGGTTTTCTCTGGGAATTAACAGAGGCATAACAGCAGCCTTTCTGATCAGAATGTAGGCATAAGTGCTTGAGAACCATTACAATGTGTCTGGCAGCATGTATGTAAATAACAGAGAAGGATAATTATTCTAAAAGGTCTAGATTGAATGGGTAAGCTTTAATTAAAATTTGAAAAGCTTTTGGTACAGGAGATACATTCAATCTTTTCTAAAAATATGCTTAGTAATCTTGGTTCTGTGGTACTCTATGTGAAGAACCCTCTTCTCCTTCACCATTTAGACTGGCATTGCATAAGTTAAGACATTAAAAAGGTTTTAGTGTGATGAGATGGATGATATCTTAGGTAACTAGGACCATAATTTAAATGTAGCCCTGCCAGTGCATAGTCTGTCAGGGGAATGGGCCCACAGCATTTTCTGTGTTGAAAACTCTGGAATGCAAGTGCTTTTTCTGCTTCCTAAAAGAGTTGCAGTCTCACAGAAAAGCAGAAGTGCACCCATTTTGGAGCTCAGTTCATTGTCTGAAACTTGGCTTGATCATCCATGACAGAGGACTGAGTGTCTTGTGGCACTGCTATTTGACCATCCAATAGCACTGAAGAGTTCATGAGATACCCATGGTTACCTTGGCAATGAAGTGATGAGACCATCTCAGTAGAATGGGAATTTTTAGCGGTGGTGAGATTTTCAAAGCTCTTTCTTTTTTTATGACTGTTAACTCATTTGTTACTGAGATTAACGTTTAAACAGACAATTAAGAGATGCTTTTAATAGGCTGAGAAAAGTTAAAGGATGTCAGTGTATTCTTTAATCCTGCCTTTTGAAACAATCCCTAGCATTTTGTACTCATTATGCTTTTAAAGGGTGAATAATTTGGATTCTCCTTATTAGAAACTCCCCTCTATGTTCCTTTCTCTGAATATAGCTTTCTAAATAATAAACTAATCTTATATGAAATCCAATAACCTATACATCTGTCTGAGTAAAATTATTAACTACATATATATACTCCCAAGTCTACTACCAAATCCAACTGTGTTGGGCATAATTGTCATTCAATTTATTGGAAGCAAATTGACAACATTTACGCAGAAAAAAAACAAAAAACAACACTTTAAATTACACAGGACAATGCTGAAAAGCCATCATTAAACATCTTGAAATCCTGCCTTCACATTTGCCATGCATTTGGCAGGGTCTGGGCCATGAAATCCCAACCATTAGATGTTCAGAGCAAAAGGAGCCCTGTGGTACCCTTCTTCAGTACATACCTGGGCATTTAAGGCTATAATGACACTCACCTGCAAGAGATTTACAAAGCAGGTAAAGCTCTTAGTTCATCTCAGGTAGTTAGATGATGATGAAGTGATTCACCATCTTTGCAACCATACTAGAACATGTATTCCCACCAGAAAGTTTAGCCATTGCAGGGATAACTGGACTTACATCTCCAGGCATCCAGCAGCGTACAGACTAAACTATAACTTTTACTAAGATAATATGGAAACCGACAACAAATTATTACTTGTGGTCTTTTTCCAGTTTTCAAGTGCAAACATACCTAAGTTTATTTTAAATCCGAACCAGTCAGACATTTAGTAATATAGATCAAAGCAGAAATGAAGGCCTCCCATGCTTATTATTTCAATATGATGTCTGTTCTAATAAAGTGTAAGAATGCCTGTGATAGACTAACTAGTAGGAATTTTCTGGTTCTGTAGTTTAGCCTTAAATATATACATGTATTTGTAAATTAACCAGAAACACATTGTGGTGGTTTCAGTTCCTCGGAAAGCTGATTGTTTTCAATCCTTTCTTTAATCTTAGAAATATGGTGGCAGTCTGCCAGCACACTTTCAGATAAACAGTCCACTTCACATTTAAAAGCTGTAGAATCACTGATATTGAAGGGGGGAAAAATCAACAGAAAACAACACCAGTTCTCTCTCTCTCTCTCTCTCTCTTCCCCAAAATGTAGAACATTATTTA